CACTGACTCGAACGTGTACTACTCGCGGAATAAGCGGTGTTGGTCCCTTCGTCGATGAGATCTCCCGGAGGAATGAATGTTCGTCCCAACGTCACCACCGAAACAACCTCTGGTAGTGTGTCTAGGTATGCCAGCTCCTCTACGCCAGCTCCTCCGATCGGCGTCGCTGTCGATTGGTCGATTTGGGACAAAAGCTGCCTGTCCGTTTGCAAAAATCTTAATTGCCAAAAAAAACCCCGGTTTTATAGCGGGTCTCCGGGCTGGCTGATCTTGTGCTGTGTACGTGCCTCCACGTCTAGTATTCATTGTCCGAAGGGACCGTTGGAATGTTTTACTGTCAAATACCTGTATGGGTGTTTCTTTTAATGAGGGTCATACTGTAACTTCGCGCCTTTGTTGGACGGAACGCCCGTCCCGTTGAGCGCGGCTACGTTCGGCGGCTGATGGTCGCCTTGAGCCCAAGTTTATTATCGTAAGTCGCAAGCAGGTAGGATTGGGTCGAGTGACGACAAATCGTTTAGTTATAACTGTAAGCTTTAATTACAAGTTTATGGGTTTTTTCCGAGGCTCCAGGAGGAAGGCTCCGGTGTCCTTTAATCTCCGACATATAAATACTGTTGAGAGACGCTCATACAAACGTATTCGCAATGACAGTGTATGATCGCTCGCAGATAACTCGATAACTCGTATAACTCCGTTAATAACTGTTAATAACTGATTCGCTCGCGATCGCGTCCGTTTATTTATACTGGTTGGGGAGAGTCGAAAAATTCAAATTCGCCTTTGTTCTACGTACGGTTGCACGTAGCGGTGACATTGTTTTGCTCGGAGTTTATTTATCGTTACATTTCATGCGTCAAGGCGGTGTCAATGTTCCGAGTCAAAACAACAACATGAGTCGCTCCCGATTCGCATCGTCCTCTGACTCATGTGCCGTTACATCACCCCCCTGCCAGTGATAACGTGTCCATTAGGTTATGTTCAAAAAATTATTTACACTGCTTTTTCTTGGTAGTCGCTATTTTAAAAGTTAAATACATACTTTCGATACATACGATACATCCTGTGTCCGACAATTTACGACTCTCAACCGAAACCTGCCTGAAACCAATCGGGAAAACGGACTCTTCGCCCAGACCGCCTAACGGACCTATTCCTGGTGTTTTCTTCCGTCGTTCGATTATTATTATTTGCACCGCCTTCGTCGCGGGCGTTCGTTTGTCCTACCGGAATACGTACGTTACGAGTTTCGGCCGTTTTTTTCTCTAAGTCGTCCGGTACTATACACGCGGGTTTTAATCGGTCTATGGAAACCGTTACGTCGCGATTATTTACTTTTATAATATAATTTTTTTCATCCCTTTTTACAACTTTATGTTAAGGAAATTCGAGGATTTGGAAATACAAATAATTGACTATATTTCACACACAACAGCTATACATCTATATTACACTCTGAAGAACGTCTTGCACGCACGCTTGTCGCCAACCGCCTATCCAGAATCTTCTAACGGCAGTCTTTTGTCTCAACTAAGACCTGTACGCCCTCTGACCCTTACACACACACTCTTATGTACAGAGTAAATGTATCACTTCCCTAACACTTTAAACGGCCCGTCGTACTGCGGTTGTAAAGGGCCTCCTATCGCGTCATGGTGCAAGGAAACATACGGCGATGATTTTAGATCTTTAAAAACGAAAATTTTCTTTTCGCCATGACGCGTAACCGGGTATGGCCTGACTTTCTCTATCCGCTCTTTTAGCAGGTTCGTGAATTCGAAGTTGGTCCGCTGATTGGTTAGTAAAAAGAACTTCGCCGGCAATCGTATGCCGGTGCCGTAGATCATTTCGGCCGCCGTTGCGTTAAGGCGCTCCTGTATCGCGGTTATAATCGGCGAATTGTACGATCGGCAGAATTTCGACCCAGTTGCTCGTGTCGTGGCACTTGATCGCCGCTTTAAGCTGTCTATATAAGCGTTGTACCATCCCATTAGACGCGGGATGATAGGCCGACGTGCGTAGGTAGGTTACGCCGAACTCTTCAAACAAACGCGATTCGAATTGGCGTCCTTGGTCAGTTGTTATTTTTAAGGGGACGCCGAAACGAGAAATCCAAGTTGAAAGGAGGGCCGAGGCAACGGTTGGCGCTTCCATGTCAGCGATGGGAATGGCTTCGGGCCAATGCGAAAAACGATCGATACACGTTATACAATATTGATAGCCCTCCGAATACTGCATTACGATAATGTCTACGTGTGCTAAAAATACGTACCTGGTGATTTTACTGCGTTGGCACGGTATGCATTGTCGCGTCCACGTACGGCAATCTTTGTTTACCGACGGCCAGACAAAGCGCGTTATGGCCAGTTCTTGCGTGGCTCGTATCCCCGGATGGAAAAGTCCGGCTAACAACTGAAATATGTTGCGTCGTAACGGTTTCGGTACGAACGGCCGCAAGGTTCCGGTCGAAATGCCGCAAAATATTTCCACATTCTTTTCGGGAAAACGAATCTTCTCTAGTGCGCGAGAGTCAGAGTTGAGGATTTGGCGTAGTTCATTGTCGCTTTCTTGCGCTCATGCTAACGTTCGGTGATCTACCGAGTTTTCAGTTGTCCCGATGCGAGCTCCGCAGAGAGGACTTGCTTATGTAAGTCTATGGGGGCTGGTAAACCCACGTTCCCGCAGTCAGGGAGGACCGTCGGGACCAGCGGCCCGCTTACGTGAGTCCTCTATGTACACCGCAGGGAAGGTCGCCGGGAGTGTAAGCGAGAGGCTCGGTTACACTCTCTCTACGTGGCCTTGGGTAGTAACGTACTCTGTACGTGGCCTTGGGTAGTAGCGCACCCACGATCCCGATGCCAAGGATGGGACCGTCGGGATAAGTTCCCGGGTACCTTGTACCTTGAGGCCCCCGCTTATGTAAGTCCCATCTGGATCTGTCGAGTACGGTTAGCAGCTCGCCGGCCGGCAGTGACGTGGCGGTACATCCACATAATAGTCCCACCAATGATTTAGGATGGTACCACGGGGGTCGAGTGTAAGCCCGGAGGGAGTAGCGACCCCTCTGCTCGGCCAATTATGGGTTTTGACTCGTGGTGGCAGTGATTGATGGCCAAGATGCTGGCAAGAGGGCCGATTTAAGGGGTAATGGCTCGCCCCAAAGGTAATGGCTCGCCCCGAATGGTCTTCGGTGGGTGAGCAGCGTCCCGCCTGCTCTGGAACCGTCCTGGTGAGACAGTAGGGCTTACAATCGCCCCGTTCGACCTGTAACGAGCGACAGCCCCTGCAGGCTTAGCTAATCAAGGTAGCACTGGGTGACTTGCGCGATGGTTGGGCGTATCCCAGCCCCTATGGTCCTAGGCGTATCCTGGTAAGTTGATGCCGAGGAAAGCACCCGTTAACTAAGACTGACAATACTTGTCCCGATGCGAGATGGCGTATCGGCTACATCGTTTTCTACGCCTTTAACGTACCGGATATCCACTGTAAACTGTGCTATATAATCTAGATAGCGAAATTGTCGTGGCGAACATTTTTTAAGTTTTTGCCGAAATACGTAAATGAGGGGTTTGTGGTCGGTATAGATTATAAAGTTTCTACCCTCAACGGCGTGTCGGAAGCGTTTTACGGTGGTTTACATCGCGAGCAATTCGCGATCGTAGGCGCCATGTTTTTGTTGCGCGGGTTTTAGAGATTTCGTGGCAAACCCTAGCGGCTGCCATTTGTTGTTCGCGTACTGTTGTAAAACGGCTCCTACTGCATAGTCGGGCGTGTCTACTGTAAGGCTGATGGGCGCACCTGGTATCGGATGCGCCAGCATCGTGGTGTCCGCGAGGGCACGTTTTGATTCTTCGAAACTGTCTTCCGCGTGTTTGGATCACTCGATGGGCGCGTTGCCCTTTCCCACGCCTTTTAACAGGCCGTGAAACGGTTGTAAAATTTTTGCGGCCCCCGATATGAAACGTCGGTAGAAGTTAACCATACCGAAGTACCTGCGTAATTGTTTAACATTCGTGGGCTTCGGGATTCTGATTATCGCTTCGACACGTTCAGTCGGCGGCTTGATTCCTTCGGCGTTCACGTTGTATCCGCATTTGTATCCGCAGTTGTATCCGTATACTACACCGTAATCATTGAGGAAGTTGAATACTGTTTACAGATGTTCACGAGGTTAGTTTTCGTCTTCTAAGGAAGTCGTCTATGTACGCGTAGACGAAATCGAGACCGCGGGTGACTTCGTCGACGAATCGCTGGCACGTTTGCACGGCGTTTCAAACATCATATTGGTCGCTTCGAAATGGCCGCCGCATGGCCGCAGGTTTCCGTACCTTTTCGGTACGACGTGCAGAGGTGATGCCCACGGGCTTTTCGATGGTCGCACCACGCCTTGCTCAATCATGAGTTCAAATTCAGCTTTCACCTGCTTGAGCCGATCCGGTGCTAGGCGGCGGGGTATTTTGTAAACTGGCGGACCTAGCGTGGTATCGATGTGATGTTCCCGTAATTCGGCGGACGAGTGAGGCCGGGAAATTCCGCCAGTAGTTGATGATACACTGAATTACCGCAGATGGTTTTTATAGATGAAACGTTGACCGTGGCTGTGTATCCCTTCGAAGATAACTAGATCGTATCGAGAAGTCTTTTATTACGTGGGTCCACGAGCCGTAGTGACTTAGAAAATCCATACCGATAATAGGTGTTTGGACGTCGGCCACAATAAAATACCACTTAAAGGCACGCTGTAGGGACAAGTTAAGATGGACCGCGACGGTCCCGTACATTGCGATTTGTGCCCGTTAGCCGCGAACAACTCGTACTCGCTTTATCTCGCATGTCCTCGGATTTTGCTGCGCGGGTAGATGCAAATGTCGGCGCCGGTGTCTGCCAGATACGAAATACGCGTGTTTTTGTCGAATAGGAAAATGCGGCGGAACATCAAGCCGTTCTCGTTTGCCGCGTTTACAGCCGTTTCCCGGCTTCCAGTTGCATGGTGAGTTGTATTTTCTCGCGCGTTCCCGAAACGTAGCGTGGTAAAAGCTAAACCATCTTGTCGCAGCGTGTTTCAGGATCTCGAACGGCGGCGGTATCTCGTACGAGAGCGTGATTGTGGTCGCGGTCGTCGACGGTTATCCATGGGCAGCACGTTCATTTGCGCTTGCATCTGGATCGTCTGCTCTCTCAACGCGCTGATGGCAGCAGCGGTAGAATCACTAGCTCCGACGTTTTGTGCAGGTGGATTAGATACCGCAGTCATTCGGTCTGTGCTGACCGCGACAACCTGTCCTGGTTCCGGGTGTATTTCGTAAATGCTGCCGGCGATCCGGGTCAGCGTTTCGGGGCTCTTATCCTGCATGGCGTCCAGAATATGCTGCACGTGAACCGGCAGCCGGCCTTCCCAGATGGTAAGGATGAAGTCATCGGACGTTACGGGAGTGGCGAGGAATTTTATTTCGCTCACGTCGAATTCACATTTCGCGATATATATTACGACCCCGTACTCGTTAAGGTGTTTAAACAAAATCCGCCAGTGTTCGTGGTGTTGTTCTTCGTTTTCGGATGTGATTAAAAACTCGTCTATGTATGCGTAGACGAAATCAAAGTCTCTCGTGATTTCGTCCACGAATCTCTGACACGTTTCTCTGACGTCATGTTGGTCGCTTCGAAAATGCCAAAAGATGTTGTGATCGCGGTTTTTTCTACGTCCTCCGGCGCGATTGGAATTTGATGGTAAGCGTCAACGAGATCGATTTTAGAAAAGATACGTCTACCATACAGATTCTGGGCGAAGTCCTCTATGTACGGCAGTGTCTACCTATCCGGAGTGGTGCGGGCCCGATAGTCGCCACAAGGTCGAATCCTTCTTTAGAACGATGTGCAAGGGTGATGCCCATGGGCCTCTCGTTGGCTGCATCGCGCCTTGCTCTATCGTGACTTCGAATTTCGCCTTCGCGACGAATTGAGCCGGCCACATTGAGTCGGTCGGGGACGAGGCGG